GTGATCTCAGCTCACTGCAACCTCTGCCTCCTGGATTCAAGCAATTCTCCTACCTCAGCCTCCCACGTGGCTGGGACTACAGGTGCCCACCGCCATGCATGGCTAATTTTTGTATTTTCAGTAGAGACAGGGTTTCACCATATTGGCCAGGCTGGTCTCAAACTCTGGACCTTGTGATCCACCCGCCTCAGCCTCCCAAAGTGCTGGGATTACAGGCATGAGCCACTGTGCCAGGACTAGGAAAGTACATACTTTATGAAAACATAGCATGCATTAGAAGAAAGAGGCTTGGCGAATGATCATTGTTATGCAGAAGACAAACTGCATGGGAAAGGAGGATTAGTTTAGTCAGTCTTGTCCAAGGGACTGAACCAGAAATAATGCGAAATTCAGTTCACTGTAAGGCCTTCCTGGCAGAATCGTCTAGAGATAGAAAAGCATGCTTAGGAGGTGTAAGCTCCCTGTGGCTAAAAGCATAGAACACTCACTGATGACCATTTGGTAGGAATACTGCAGAAGGGATTTGTTAGTCTGTTTGCCTTGCTGTAAAGGAATACCTGAGGCTAGATAAATTACAAAGAAAAGAAATGTATTTGGCTTACAGTTCTGCAGGCTGTACAGTAAGCATAGTGCCCATATCTGCTTCTGGTGAGGGCCTCAGGAAGCTGACAATCATGGCAGAAGGTGAACAGAAACAAGGCAGCTCATTACATGGTGAGAGAAGTGAGAGAGTGGAAGCAAGACAGGGAGGAAGTGTCAGGCTCTTTTAAACAACCAGGTCTTGCATGAACTAACAACCTGAAAACTGGTTCATTACCATGAGGATGGCACCAAGGAATCCACCCCTATGATCCAAATGCCACCTACCAGGCCCTACCTCCAGCACTGGGGATTATATTTCAACATGAGATTTAGAGGGGACAAACATCCAAATGATACCAGATTCAAGCATCAGGGGACTAATTATATTGACTGGGCCTTTAAAATCCTTCTCTGTCCCAAGATAACTGTGTGTGTGTTTTTGTGAGAGGTTGCCTTCTCCTCTCACCATCTTCATAAGTTAAGTAGCAATCCCCCAAATTTCCCTTACCTTCCTCAATCATCCATGCTAGAGCTATTCCATATGGAATTATTTGCCCTCTCTGGAGCACATTTATACCCTCAACCTGTGTGATCTTTCAATAAATTTTCAAATTGCTCTACGTCCAAGCCTAACTTCTTTTCCTATGTCTTATCCTAAACTATGTTCTTTGAGATTTTGAAAGGATTACTCATAATCCTGCTATTCTGGCAATAACAACTATATTAACATAATTAATATTCTTCCCTACATCATAAGTGGAGCTCACAAATTCTCTTGGCTCTCATATTTCCAGACTAGAAATTCTGATATTGTCTTCCCCGATATGAATACTTTTTATCTGAACATTTTCTAGGCCCCTTATATTTTTCTTGAGATGTAGCAGCTGTAACTATCTATGTACAGCATTCCAGGTGTGGCTGCCCCACTGTTTCACACGTGATAGATGCATTTTACTTTCCATATGATAATCAGCCCTACAAAAAATGAATTATCAGAATGACTTATTACAAAATTCTAGGTTCATTTCCCAAATCACATTGATAACTGAGAAATATCATTATCATTTCACTTATTTTGAACCAATACACAGTTTTCATGATAAACAAGCAGGAAAGCTGTGTCTGTCATCAAGGGCTTGTCTGCCCCCTGGATTTCTCAAGCAGCCCTAAAACTCCAAGACATGTGAAACACTTGACTCTGGCAATGACATCATTTTTCTTCACTTAAAAAAAGGCTAGGTTACTGTGTATACTCCACAGCTTCCTTCATTCCTGCTTATTCAATCATTTGTTTAGTATTTACAGTAGATCAGTATTAATTTTTTTTTTTTTTTGTGACAGAGTCTCTCTGTGTTGCCAGGCACCAGGCTGGAGTGCAGTGGCGTGATCTCGGCTCACTGCAACCTCCACCTCCTGGGTTCAAGCAATTCTCCTACCTCAGCCTTCCGAGTAGCTGGGACTACAGACACATGCCACCACGCCCAGCTAATTTTTGTATCTTTTAGTAGAGACGCGGTTTCACCATGTTGGCCAGGATGGTCTCGATCTCCTGACCTCATGATCCGTCCGCCTTGGCCTCCCAAAGTGCTGGGATTACAGGCGTGAGCCACCACGCCCAGCTGATCAATATTAATTTTTTGTAGACTCACATTCTTTAATGAATCATGCAATCTGGCTTCTACTTCTACACTAAAATGTCATGGGCAGAGATGATCAGAACTGTGGAAGTCTTTTAGGAAGACCTCACAGGGCAATGCTCATACTATGGCCCCTGTGTGTGCTGCCATACTCCTGAAGATCCTTAACACAGCTATTCTCCTGGCCCCTGACATCAGGTCAGCATTCTGCTGCCTCAGAATTCTTTGGCTTTTCCCTTACCCTTTGGTATCGTTCCAGTTAGGTTTAGGCCAGTGTTTCGGTTTTTGTTGTTGTTGTTATTGTTTTTTGAAAGAATCTCGATCTTTTGTCCAGGCTGGAGTGAAGTGGTGTGATCTCAGCTCACTGCAACCTCTGCCCCACCCACTGAGTTCAAGCAATTCTCCTGCCTCAGCCTCCCAAGTAGCTGGGATTACAGGTGCCTGCTACCACGCCTGGCTAATTTTTGTACTTTTAGTAGAGACGGGGCTTTGCCATATTGGCCAGGCTGCTCTCTAACTCATGACCTCATGATTTGCCTGCTTCTGCCTCCCAAAGTGCTGAGATTATAGGTGTGAGCCACCAGACCCAGCCAATGTTCTCTTACTGTATCCCACTTGGAGTGGTAAGTCCTGCACATTTGCCTATTTGTTGGTAGCTGGTTGTAGCCACTGCAAAGATCTGAATCTTAAGGGCTTAGAGTACTAATTTTCAATCCCTTTGCCCCACTTCATGAAGCATTCTCATTTAATGCTATATTTTAAGTGAAATTAAAAACTTTTTTCATGTTTAAATAGTCTATGAAATTTTTTCCTTATAAGGTGATTATTTCTGAAACACTGATGAACTGCTGAATAATGGACTATATATTCCTTAAGATTTAGAATTCACTTCTGTACCACTTGACATCTAACCCAGTATCTGCTATGTAGTAGGCACCAAACAAATATTTGGATGAATAATTGAGGGGAAGTTGGAGCATAAACTCTGAGAATATAGGGTCATTTTTGTTTGTCTAAACTTAATGTCCTTGTCTTTAAAAACTGGAGATAGGGCTACAATTCGTTTTCATAACCGGGGGAGTTGCCCAGGGGAAGGGGCTGGAGCTGACCGAAGTACAGATTCCTGTGCTGACTTCATGAATCAGGATGTCTAGAGGTAGAGACGAGGATTCTATAGTTTTCATGAGAGGAAGAGTTACAATGCAACTAGTTTGCATGGAAACAGATCATCTCTAAGGCCCCTTCAGCAAAAGCATTCTTAGGTTCAAATATTAACAACTAACTTATAAGGAATTTCTTTACTAATGATGTTTGACCTGTTTTTTGTCGTCCTCATTCAGAGCATGCTGAGTCACTTGACGATTTCTCCAACAGGGAAGCTTCTCTCCAGAGGCCCTAAGCATTTGAAGCTCACACCTGCTCCCCTCAGGGATGAGATGGCCTCATTTGCTCTGGTCAATATTAATCCCTTCACTCCAGAATCCTATAGAAAATTATTCCTTCAATCTGGTGGGAAGAGGAAAATTCCAGGAGATCTGTAAGTGCTCTGTTACTTATGACTTGAGAACTGGCTCTATCACAGTCAAGCGGTAAAAAGAAAGTGTTAAAGTAAGATTAGGAACAAGAACTCTATTTGAATTAAATTTATATGCTTACATATTCTCCCTTCCTTGAATATAAATGCTGGTTTCACCTGCTTTATTGTAGAGATTCTAACATCTTTCCATTCTGATGTGTACTGTAGGTGCATTCTCTATAAAAGAGCAAGACAGAATAAGCAGTAGATCTCTGGCTTCCATTAGGAAGTTGAATGGGCTATGGAATTGCATTCAAGGGGTCTCCTCTGGTTAATATGAGGCTGGCGGTTGGGGAAGGTGTAGATCATACTTCAAAGAGTACATTGCTGCTTTGAGTTTTGTGTGACTAGTGATAAAAGCTATAGAGCAAGGATTTGAACTTCTCTGTGGGTGATGGAAGATTGGCTGAAGTGAAAAAGCACTGCATTCAGAGCGGCTAAAGGATAGAAAGCCACACTGCACTATTCCATAAAGGCCACCTGAATGACAGAAATCATCCAAATAAGGATTGTGCATATTACTCAGGAACATTTCTCTACTATGTCTCTTCAAGGCTTTTTTACAGAATGGAATCACCTCCAAAGCGGGGCAGTCATTTGAACGGACAGCTAACAATGTAAACTTTGCAGAGCATTTAATGTGCTATCTCAAGTTGTTCCTTTGGAATCAATAAGCATGTGTTAATCAGTCCTTGACCAGAATAGGTTCTCTCAACACCATCTCCTTAAGTAAACAGGACTTCAGCACAAGTCCACACACCTACTTTGGCTACTAAGAATTCTATTGGTTTTAGTTCTTTAGGAGTCTTCCTAAATCATTACATTCTCACTGAAGCCAGCAACAAAGACAGCTAATTTGAAATCCTGGCCGTGAAAGTGGTGACACTTTGTAGTATCATTTGGTGCTTCTAAGAGAGTATTTTTCCTTATTATGTTTTTATGCTTTATAAAACACTTCATAAAATATTACAAAGTGGTACTAAATTGCAAATACCAAGCATCAATTTATTTCCATGAATGTAGCATCCTCCATTTGCCATTTCTACCTTGTGTTTCTCCAAAAGAAAAATCTATGAGCTAGATGAAATCTTGCTTAAGGATCCGGAATACAAGTATGCGTGGTGAAGAGGATATCTGCCGGTAACTTGGCTTATTGGAGAGTAATTGAAAAGATGTCATCCTGGGTTAGAGCAGATTCTGCCCTACTTGTAGTCTACCTGTGAACCGAGTACAAAGCCAGATTCCGGGTGAGGGCTGGGTGTTGGAAGGAGAGCGTGGTGTGGGAGTGAGGAGCAAATGCTTTGGTGTCAGACCTGGCTCCAAGTCCTAGTTCTGCCACTTGCTAATTGTTTGACCTAGAGTTCTTTAACCTCTCTCTGTCTTGGTTTCCTCGTCTGGGGATAATGATACCCATTTAACAGTTTCACATATGTTCTGTGCTCTCTTGCTCCAGTTCTCAGCACATGGTGTTGCTGAAAACCTTGCTCTGTTCCCTTAGCTAGTTCCTACTCATTCCCAGAATCTTGGCTTGTACATCTTCTCTTCTGGGAAGGCATTTTACTCTTGAAATAATTGAGTGCTGTCTATGGTACCCTTGTTATCTTATCCTGTTCTAGGTTCTTGAATTGAAATTTCCTGGTTATCCCTGCCTCTACATATAAACCAAAGAGAAATGAATTGTCATATTTACTCTTCCATCCCTAGAACCTAGCATAGTTCAGGCCCAATAAATGTTAATCATATATTGATAAACTTTTTTTTTTCCTAAGTGAGGAAGCTGGTCCAGAGGAAGGCAAGGGAGGGCTGCCTGCCAAGGTAAGTGTGGTTCTTTGGCCCAGCTGCCACAACATAGGCAGTTTATCTTATTCTCTCTCTCTTTCCTTTCCCCTCCTCCCTCTCTCTCCTCCCTCCTCCCTTCTTCCCTACCTTCCTTTTCTCCTCCCTCACCCTCTCTCCTCTCCCTCTTCCTGTACCCTCTCCCCATCTTCTACCCTCTCCTTCTGCCCTTCTCCTTCTGCCTTCTCTTTCCTATCTCCCCATCTCCCCTCATTCTCCTACTCTCCTTCTCTCCTTCCCTCCCCAGCCCACCACAGCTCACACTCTTGCTTTGTAAATGTGCTTTGCAGCTGAATTTATCCAAACCCTAGTCAGGGTCTATGTTCTCAGTTAGTTGTTACTTTTTCAGGCAGAGTCTGAGATGTATATTATTGAATCATTACTTCAGAGTATTTTTAAATATTTCTGCTTCTATCTTTAATCTGGAGAAAAATTCTACACTCATGGGGTAGAGAAGTGAAGGGAAAATTAAGATTTTTTTTGTCTCAAAATAGAAAAAGAGAATGGAAAAAAATGGCATAGAGCCAGATATTTATATGTAAAACTTTAGCTCTTAAATGTATCAATATTTGATTTTATAATGTTCACAGTCTTTGATCTATCCCTCATTTGATAATCTAACCTAAGAAAATAATACTGTAAATATTATCCTCAGAGATGTTTATTGTAACAGCAAAAAAGGGAGAGACCAAATGCCTGCTAATAGAAAAATGGCTAAGCTAATTACAGTTTTAAGTCAATGGAATGTTAAATTGTCATTAAGATGTTTATAATACCTTGAAAACATGCATATGTTCAGTGTACAAAAGATTCAAAATTGTATATGCTGAATGACCATAACTATCTATGTTGCATTAATCACAGGGAGAATGAAATGTAGCTATAACCACTGCTATTTCAACATTTTTGAATGGTGGAAAATTAACATTTGTTTTTCCTTTAAATTTCTAAAGCTTTCTGAATCAAGTTTTATTTGCATAAATGAGACAGGTTAATATGGTAAAATGTTAGCACTTGGCTATTGTAAACATCATAGAAAAGAAGGCCACTGGCACGGGCGTTCCTTCACGTGCAAATGTTTCTGACTTATGCCTTCATTATTTTACCCTTCGATTTTATTCCTCACTTATAATTCATCTCCTGATTTCAGATAGAAACTCTAACCCTATTTATTAAGCATTCAAGTGTGAAGCCTTGTATTTAGTTAGAAACCCTTTAAGGAAAAGAATCTGCCCAAAAGGGTTAAAACCTTTGAAATTTCAAAACAATTTATACATAAATAGGAAGCTATGAGATATGTGTATTTGTGTATATGTGTATGCACATATGTGCATGTGAATATACCTACTCTTACATGTATATATTTAAAATCTATAAGGAATTAAATACTTCAATAAAATAGGACTTGGTAGGAAGAGATAGTATATTAAGATAATTTTAGACAAAGGAAATAAATAACTTCAATGCTATCAAGAAAGGGGAACAGAGTACATGTGTAGGAGGGGTAGGGTGGGTGAGGGAGCGGTCAGGGAGAAATGCAGATGGTACACTGGCTTCGTTGGGATCTAGGGGGAGGGTAGTCAAGTAGCGGATGTGCAGCTGGTAGAAGGTCTTTTCTTACCAGGAGTTTGAATTTCTCATGGGAAACGATTAGGCATCTCTGATTGTATAGTATCGTTTTGCAAAAATAACTCTTAACTACTAGAGGGGTTGAAAGAGGGCTAGCAGCAGTAGCAAATCCAAACAGGAAGGAAACAGAGCTTGAGACTGGCTAAGGGTAATGAAAATTAGAGATCTTGCTGATGAAAAGTGATTGGAATTTGATTTTGAAAATGTAGTGTAAAACCCAAGATTTTTGAAAGTCATAAAGTTGGAGAAAAATTATTCATGATTGGGACACTGCAAAAAGATGACTTTGGGAGCTAAATCAGCTTGGATTTATATTCATATACATTTATGGAGATTTTTGGTCATAATAGTTTAATGAGAATTTACTATGTACTTGACACTATCTTTAGCTATGTGTTACGCATAACATTTGTAATGCTGTATATTATCATGTAATATTTAAAAGAACTCTGAGGAATAGTTGCTATGATCTTCATCTTACAGATGGGACAACTGAAGGGAGTTCAGATTGGCCTGGGGTTATTTACTCACTGGGCAATGAGTGATGCTGCTACTTGGCCAGTAGTGGGAGTGGTCGCTAGACCTGAGCACCTATTCTGAACTAGCCAGTTTGACAATTTTGACAAAATCAGTTCTCCAGATTGGTTTTTGGGAAAAGAAACAGAAAACAAATATGTCTATTTGGCTTGAGATGGAAATGTTGGCATTTAGACTTTGAGACACGTAAAGAAGGGGGGTCTTTTATTTCTTTTAATTTGCTCCACCCAGGTCCCAGCCATTTTTTGAACTGAGGACAGTAGCTCTGGGTGTGAGAAGTTGTGTCCCCTAAGGAACATGTAGAAAAGAACAGTAGGCCCAGATAGAGAAAAGAATGTTGAGAAATATATAAGAATTGTCAGTATAGAGTTTATGGAAGGTTGCAAAGAAAACAAAAAAGACTCTTGCTACCATGAATTGGGGAGATTCTTGCTACCATGAATATTGACACAGGTAGAATTCATTGCAGTTGCCTCAAAAGTCTTTTTGAAAACTTGGAGCAATTTAGGACTATAATATTGTTTAATTTTATGGCTTACAACATGTTAGAATTACTCTAATTTGCTTTTTATTAAAATACTTTAGAGATGTGTTTTACGAGAAACCAACATGGCTTCCCGCTATGAAAAAGAATTCTTGGAGGTAGAAAAAATTGGGGTTGGTGAATTTGGTACAGTCTACAAGTGCATTAAGAGGCTGGATGGATGTGTTTATGCAATAAAGCGCTCTATGAAAACTTTGGCAGAATTATCAAGCGAGTGAGTACCTTTGAAATGCACTATAAGCATAAACTTAAATTTGGAGAGCTGTTTCTTGTCAAATTATTTTCAAATATAGCGCTGCTATCACTAAAAATCATTTTTTAAAACTGCCCTGCATTATATGTAGTCTCATATTCATAACATTTCTGAGTTTTCTTTTTTTTTTTTTTTTTGAGACGGAGTTTCGCTCTCGTTACCGAGGCTGGAGTGCAATGGCGCGATCTCGGCTCACTGCAGCCTCCGCCTCCTGGGTTCAGGCAATTCTCCTGCCTCAGCCTCCTGAGTAGCTGGGATTACAGGCACGTGCCACCATGCCCAGCTGATTTTTTGTATTTTTAGTAGAGACGGGGTTTCACCATGTTGACCAGGATGGTCTCAATCTCTTGACCTCGTGATCCACCCGCCTCGGCCTCCCAAAGTGCTGGGATTACAGGCGTGAGCCACCGCGCCCGGCCCACATTTCTGAGTTTTCTAGCTTAGATGCTCCTTCCTAAAATAGAACATCATCATTTTAGATCATGTGGTTTTTTTGTGTGTGTGGCTTTCACTTTCTACTGCTGGTCTTTCTGACTTTTTAAAAAATGAATAGATTTATGGCATTGTCTTCTGGGCGTCTGTTTCATTTATCAGAAATACTACCAAATAGAAAGTTATTGTAAACTCACTGGTTTATTTTTACTTTGTTAATAATGAATTCAGTAGTAAAGTTTCAGAGACTACATGCAAGGGGAAATTAACAAAGTTTTGTTTCAGTCCCAGAAGTGTTCAAGGAAAACACATATTTTCAGATTCAGCCAATGCTTTTTATGAACTGTGAGGATATACTTAACATGCAGAATCTGAAATTACAGGTTTTAGAATTCCTCATTTTTTTTCTTCTTTTGAGACAAAGTCTATGTCCATTGCCCAAGCTAGAATGCAGTGGTGCCATTTTGGCCCACTGCAACCTCCACCTCCTGGGTTCAAATGACTCTCCTGCCTTAGCCTCCCAAGTAGCTGGGACTACAGGCATGTGCCACCACAACTGGCTAGTTCTTCATTTTTATACGGTGACTCATCAAGTACTCTATTTTGCTTAATTTGTGTTGGGATTTTTTATTCCACAAGGAATATCTCTCCCCAAGGCTATTCCTGTGACTGTATCATATTGGCTGAGGTTAACATTGACTCTAATGTTAACCTCATTAGAGTTAACATTAGGGTTAATGAAAAGAAAGCCCATTATAGCATCCACAATGTGGTGTACAGTGGCCTTCTTGTTAAGCCCATTAAAAAGTTTTAATTGTGATACATTGAAATGAAGACCTGAAGCACATCTGCCATTGAGGCATAACCACTTAAGAGTCATCTTTACATATGCTATGTTAAATCAGAAAACAATGGACTTTGGTACCAGGCCGACCAAGATTCTTCTTTTAAGTCTACTATTACCAGTTTGACTTTGGGCCACTTACTTTTGAGAGTCTTCATCCTTTCCACTGTACATTACCAAGTAATTATGAAGATTCAATGAGATAAAATAGTAAGCAAGCAGTGAGCGCTCAATAACTATTCTGCCATTGCTAATAAAGCCTTATATTTTTAAAAACCATTTTTATGTACATTATCTTGATGGATGTTTTTATTCCTCCATGCTTTTCTGTCTCTTAGGAATTTGGCTTTGCATGAAGTTTATGCTCATGCAGTGCTTGGGCATCATCCCCATGTGGTACGTTACTATTCCTCATGGGTAGAAGATGACCACATGATCATTCAGAGTGAATACTGCAATGGTAAGTAGCATACAGACGAATATCTACGAAGAGGGAGATGAACCTTATAAGCCTTCAGAAATAAACTTTGCCTCCTCTTCATAGTTTACGCCATGTATAGCAGACATACCTAAGATGTCTGTACTATATATTATAGTCTTACTTGGAAGCACAGAGCTTCTATTCCTCTTAAATGTATAGATATACCTCAACTTTTTCTTTCTTTCCCTTCTGTTGTCAGGATAATCATTCAGTTCAGAAAATATTTATTCCATGCTAGACTTGGGGAAAGTGGAGATGAGTTAGACGTGCTCCCTGCCCTTAAGCAGCACGAAGGCTAGTAGGGAAACCAGAGCTTCAGTGGATGCAGCCTTCCTCCTCGTCGGGAGCACCTCATGACCTCACCTATAAACTTTGTCTAGGAGTGACTTCATTTTTAACAAGCTCCAAAACATTCTCTTTCCTTACTTATTCTTCCTAATTAGTAAGTCATATGTAGCATATAAATTCTTTTCTAAGAAGACTCTGTAGTCCTCTTTGTGTTCCTTTCAGGAGCTGAATTATTCGACCTTCGAACTTATGTGTCATGCTACAATAATTCTTTAAATTCGATTTTACACAGAATGCATTTAAATATGAATTTCCTCAAATTCCATGGCTATCTCAGAGCTCAGTGAGTGGAGCTATGGTCTTTGTAACTGCCAGTTACAGCGAGATCCCTGTAACTTGAAGAACGTGCCAATGAACAATAATTAATAGTGTTGAGAGGCATTCTAATACCTTAGAATCAAGATCAGATAGTTATATGAATCCAGGCCTTTAATTCATAACAACAATAAATCGAGTCTACAGGTGATGTACAATTACTGTAGCTGAAATAAGATTTAGGTGTATATGCAGCTTTTATGTTTTCCTTGGGTTGGCAATCATTAAATGTTCTTATTTTGTGATCTATTTTTAATAAAATTAGGCTTAGATTCAATTATATTAAAATTACAGATGGTCTATAACTGTTAGCCTGACACTAACATGGAGCTAATCGTTGACACCAATAGTAGGTGATTGATCTTCTGATTGATCTTCTGGTTAAGAATTAGGTAAAACTTTTAAAATGTTAGCTGATACATACTTGAATCAATGGGGCCATGTACTTTTTCTTTTCCTCTTTGAAAACCCCGTAATTCTCCTTTCCAACACGTCTGTGGTATAGATGGGGCAGATACTGTGCTTTGCACTGACACCAAAGTAATCTATTTGTTGGACTGAAGTCATTCATGAGGCATGTATTGACTATAGTACTATGTCATTTTATATAAGGGACTTGGGCATTTGGGGCCTTGGTAGCTGCAGGGGGTCCTGAAACTAATCCCCTGAGGATATGGGAGGCCAGCTGTATTTACTGCGCTTTCACCTGTAAGACTCATATCTTTTCTCTCATTTTGTGGGGCTGTTCTCTGTTGTTCTTTCCCAGGTGGGAGTTTGCAAGTTGCTATATCTGAAAACATTAAGTTTCACAATCATTTCCAAGAGCCAAAACTCAAGGACATCCTTCTACAGATTTCCCTTGGACTTAAATACATCCACAACTCTGGCATGGTACACCTGGACATCAAACCTAGTCAGTATGATTCCCTTCTGCCACTTCTACCATATTTTGTTCTCTCTATGCTATCATAACAATCTGAGTCTGTATGTCCACCAAGTGTCAAAGACAGTGTTTGCTGGCAGAACTCCTTTCTTCCATTTGTGTCCCTTAAATCAGTTAAATAGTTTTAACCATTCTCCCCTAGGCCCAGGGGACAGAAAAAAGAAAAGACTCTAACTCATATAGTAAGGCCAAAAAAGAGTGAAATTTGGTATTTAATTTACTACGAAGACAAGTGACAGCATATCAGCTACATTCCAATTGTGTTTATGACTAGTACTATATTCATTCTAACTCAATTTATTCATTTAAAGTAAGGAGAAATGAGTGACTTTATCACTCAATAATGTGAAACCCAAGGACAAGTTCTTACTATTTTTTTATTTTGGGGACAATAGCACTCTAATACCAGCCTCTTCAGAGAATGAAGACTATATGAGGTCAGTTCAACTTAAATAGGTATTATCTATCACTAGCTGTTCCGAAGTGATGTGAGATTTCACAAAAAAAAGAAACCCTTAGTAGTCTTGCTATGTCCACACAGAAGAAGAAAAGAGAGAAGCTGAATTGTCAAATACAGAAAAGAATCTTTGAGATGAAAAAGCTAGAAATCATTACTTACATCTATTCTGTGACTTTTTTTTTTTCCAGGTAATATTTTCATTTGTCACAAGATGCAAAGTGACTCCTCTGGGGTCATAGAAGAAGTTGCAAATGAAGCTGATTGGTTTCTCTCTGCCAATGTGATATATAAAATTGGTTAGTCTGCCTTATACCCTTACCAGTTACAATTATCTTATAAAATTTATACCGATGACTCAATTTATTCAGTTTTAAGAAAGACATGCTTTTAAAAAGCCCTATTTCTCTTTTTTTATATTCTTTTATTCTTTTTTCCATCTTTCTGTAGGTGACCTGGGCCATGCAACGTCAATAAGTAAACCAGAAGTGGAGGAAGGAGATAGTCGCTTCCTGGCTAACGAGATTTTGCAAGAGGTATAGATTAGGGAAATGGAGTGAATTTTATAATCCGTTTAACCTTTGACTATCAAATGGAGGCTCTCAGTGCAAAAAATGAAAACTATATAATTATAGTATCTCTCTTCCCATTTAGAATGGAAGCCAAAGATAGGAGAGAAATTCTTCCAAAAAAGTGAGGAAAGCTGGCTCAATCAAGGATGAATCAATATTAAGACTGTTCTTTCTAAATGCCTTTTACTGTTTCCCAGTATTAGATTTCCTAACCTCATGGATTGCCTCCTAAGAAGGAGGCCTTTTTCTCAGGCCCATATTGGTCCAGTCCATCTTTATCGTACCATTATTGTTCTGATGGCACCACCAGTTTTGGTTACTGAAATGACGTTTAGCCATTGCCCATCTTCTCCGAGGTCTGTTAAGTCAGGCCTAGGAAGGATGTAACTTCTTCCTGGGTGATAATCAGGTAAAAATGAGTATTTCCTTCCTGTGATCAGCCAAGTTATGCAGCAAGCCTTTCTGAGCCTGACAGAGCAAAATGGCACTAAGTTTCTGCCTTGGACTCCTCAGGGCACAGCAGTGTTAATCAGGTAGACTTATGTTCTCTCTTCTGTGGAAATCACTACAGTAATGTACCTTTGACCATCGTGTCTGTTTGGACCTTATATGCACTCCAGTCTTTCCTACCAGTTGTATTTTAATCTAGACTCACTCTGCTTGACATAGTAACAGGCCTTCCTTTCTTCTGTTTTGAAGGATTACCGGCACCTTCCCAAAGCAGACATATTTGCCTTGGGATTAACAATTGCATTGGCTGCAGGAGCAGAGTCATTACCCACCAATGGTGCTGCATGGCACCATATCCGCAAGGGTAACTTTCCGGACGTCCCTCAGGAGCTCTCAGAAAACTTTTCCAGTCTGCTCAAGGTGATATCTCTTGTGAGATGAATAGAAGATGCAATATCTATTTTTTAATGCAATGGCAAGTAGTTGGGGAAAGAAAAATGGAGATGCTGGTACCGTCACTAACAGAAAAAGGAATGTGACTAGAAGTCCAGAAAAGATAAGGGGCGGGTAGAGAATCTCTTAAGGAAACTTGGAGAAAATTGTAAAATCTTTCATGCTTAGTAAAAAGTCCTGTTACAAACATTTTTTCATTTGCCCTTTCTAACAACCCTGTAAGATAGGCAGGTGGCATCTTATTCTGCAGTTGAGGAAACTATGGCTCACAGCAGCTCCTTGACACCTGAAGTCACAGTTAATGACTGGTTAGCTCTAAAATCAAATCTGGTCTTCTTGTTGCTACTTCAGGGTTTTAACTATTGTTAGTGGTAACAGTGATAGTACTAACAGAATGAATTTCTACTGTATGTAAGAAGGTGTAAGACTACTTTATCGATAATCAGTAATACTAATTATTTGAGCTATTAGAAAAAAGGTATAGTGTCAATTCAAAAGTCTATCTTTTACTTGTACTTAATGACATTTGAGTAGTGTAGGGGCAAGAAAGGGAAGATACTATGTTGAAACAGACACAAAAAGTTTATACTGTCCGGAAGCTTAATAATACTAAGAAAAGTGTATATATGACTTTATATCATGTCTTAGGGAACAGGATTGGTTAGGATTCCCAAAACTGCCTTAGAAATATCTATTTCCCTGGAGATTAGATTTTTTTCTTTTTCTGAGACAGGGTCTCCCTCTGTCACCCAGACTAAAGTACAGTGGCACAATCATAGCTTACTGCAGCCTTGAACTCCAGGGCTCAAGCAATTCTCCTGCCTCAGCTTCCTGAGTAGCTGGACTACAGGTGTGGGAAATTAGTTTCACAGTTTACCTGTGAACTTCAAATGTATTTACCAATCCATCCTTCTTCCTGACTACTTTTGCTTTCCTGAAAGGAGGCAAACTCTTTCTCCTTCCTTTTGTTCAGTCTAATCACCTATTCCCATGTGTAAACCGCTTTGCATTTACTTGATATTTCGGTACTTAAATGCTAGCCCTGTGCTGGGCAGTACGTATATTAATTCGTTAAAACCAAAAAATAGTCTAAGAAGGTAAACATAATTATCCCAAATTTCAGGTAAGGGAAATGGAGCTTCAGCAAAATTTATAAAACAAATGGTGGAGTTGGCTCTGATTCTGGTCCCCAAATGGAGGGTTCAGTGTTTTCTTCACTATATGAGTGTCATTGCTGTATATAATTAGGTATTTTCTACAATATTCAAATCATGATAGGTTACAGACATCTTCTACCTTAAAATAAATGCTTTAGGAATACTGTCATGGTGGGTTATTAAAATTAGGTGGAATAGCAACATGATGTGGTAGAAAGTAAACAGGAGTAAGAGTTGGGCAAACTGGGTTTTGGTCTTGGCCATTCCAGTAATTTCGATAATTTTTATTGAGTCTTAGTTTTGCTTTAAAACTAAGGCAATAGACTAGTTAGCCAGCCAGCTCCAAAATATGATTAAAGGCAAATGCCTGTAATCCTAGCACTTTGGGAGGCTGAGGCGGGTGGATCACAAGGTCAAGAGATCGAGACCATCCTGGCCAACATGGTGAAACCCCGTCTCTACTAAAAATACAAAAACATTAGCTGGGCGTGGTGGCACGTGCCTGTAGTCCCAGCTACTCGGGAGGCTGAGGCAGGAGAATTGCTTGAACCTGGGAGGCGGAGGTTGCAGTGAGCCGAGGTCGTGCCACTGCACTCCAGCCTGGCGCCTGGTGACGGAGTGAGACTCTCTCTCAAAAAAAAAAAAAAAAAGACAAATCAAAGGTGTGGACAACTGATGCTACCAGACATGGAGACAATCCTCCTGTCCAAGGTGAGACTCAGCTTTCATTTCTTTCTTTCCTCTGCACAAAGTAGAAACAAGGTCTTACAAAATCCATCAGCAGAAGCTGGGTTGGAATTGGCTTGAGTGGGAAGACTTTTCCCAACAGTGAAACTTCTGTTTTTTTCCTCTTGTCCTATATCATCAGAACATGATCCAGGCTGATCCTGAACAGAGACCTTCTGCAGCAGCTCTAGCCAGTAATCGAGTCCTCCGGCCTTCCCTGGGAAAAACAGAAGAGCTCCAACAGCAGCTAAATTTGGAAAAGTTCAAGACAGCCACACTGGAAAGGTATATTTTTGGATGATGGAGGTCAAGAAAGAATCTGAGCACTACTCATAATGGTATGACCAGTCTAGTCTAGTGTGTCTTCTCTATGGATTTAGGGGTGCGTATATGAGTGTGTGTGTGTGTGTGTGTGTGTGTGTATTCACCATCATAATACATAGGTCCCTGTCCACAAGGAAACTGGCAGTATGTGGCTCTTCATAGCATGGGGCTGGAAGGCTCTGTGATTAGGCTGCTTGAGAGAAAGAAAATTCCAGTTAATGTAAGCAAAGGAAGCAAGAGTGAGGAATATAAGGAAATACCAGTAAAGAAAACTTAGGATTCTGAGTGGCAGTGGGTATCTAAGTAACTGGTTGGTGATCACCTAATATAACCACAGGTAAGATGAGTAAGAGCTATTTTAGAAACCCATTAAGTGTCAGGGCAGGCAGGTAGACATACTGTACTGATACACATTTAGAGGAAAGTTTATTTTTTTGAGCAAAGAAAACAATCTGCTCTCCTACTCATGTAGGCTTGTATTCATGCATAAATTTACTTGTTAATCCTTCAATAAATGGGAATTTGAATATTTTCCTGGCAGGGAAGATGCCATCATCACGAAGGTGGTTTTCCCAAGGCGAGGGTCATCCATTGCACTCTGGATGTGCTGACCCCTGCCATTTCCCCAAATGTGGGAAACTCGACTACATAATTTGTGGTAGTGAGGGACTGCATTCACACTTTCCCCTGAAAAACAAAAAAGAAAAAAAAGTGGGAATTCAATGGGGTGGAGTTGGAGAAGAGCAGTATTCTGAAGGCATTTTTGAGTAATTATTACATATACTGTACACCACTGAAAATACAAAAGAAGAAAATGAAAATTTGTCCTTGCTTAAAGTAAGCTTAGAAGTCCAACTTCTCTTGGATATACAATTATCCATCTTGGAAAGATTAGTTTTGAAGTATCCCTAAACTGATTTCGAAGTATTAAGGATAAGTTGTAGAGACTCTTGGCCTTTAGTCAGATAAATTTTCCTAATAAGCCACTTAATATTTTTCAGTTCTAGTTTTGAATTCCATTGTCCCAACTAATAAAGAAAGTACAAAGTACTATACTTATATATGTTGTTCACAAGAATATATATAAGTACATCTTAAGGTGTGATGTGTACATTCTGGGAAGCCAGCTGTGGAGACACGGGTGACTATCACAGCCAGTACCAGTGATGGGCACCCATCATAAAGATGGGGCTAACAGCATTTTGAAATTGTCTAGACCAGGAGTCCCCAGCCCCTGGGCCATGGACCAGTACCAGTCTGTGGCCTGATAGGAAATGAGCTGCACAGCAGGAGGTGAGCAGTGGGTGAGTGAGCACTACCGTCTGAGCTCTGTCTCCTGTCAGATCAGTGGCGGCATTGGATTTTCATAGCACGAAACTTATTGTGAACTGTGCATGCGAGGTATCTAGATTGTGCACTCCTTCTAAGAATCTAGTACCTGATGATCTGAGGTGGAACAGTTTCATCCTGAAGTCATCTCCTCCCCCAACCCCCATCCATAGGAAAATTGTCTTCCTTGAAATCAGTCCCTGGTTCCAAAAAGGTTGCAGACCACTGGTCTAGACCAAGTGTTGGAAAACTTGTTTTGTGAAGGGCTAGATGGTAAATATTTTATGCTATGTGGACCTTATGCTTTCTGCTGTAATGACTTCAACTCTGCTGTTATAGTCTAAAAACAGTCATCGACAACATAAATGAGTGGCTCTGTTCCAATAAGACTTTATTTATAAATACAGGTGATGGGCGAGATTTGACTCAGAAGTTGTGGTTTGTTGACCCTGGTAGCTTTCATATGTAGCCTGAAGAAGCTGTTCACTTAATTTAACACATTTTAAAGATCATTTATACTCCAATCAGCAGAGTCTGGGAAGCTAAACCTACCATGTTGGATGGCATGTGTGTGTCAGCCATTTTTGATGACATCCATAGTGACGGAATTTTCCGTTCTGTATATAGCTCAAGCTTTTTATTTAAGCAAATACTGAAACAAAAAGAAAAACATTCATATATTAGTTTTGATCATATGTATCTCTGATTGGAGATCAAGTAGCCTTTGCTTTTTCCCCCTTGCACTTCAGGGAACTGAGAGAAGCCCAGCAGGCCCAGTCACCCCAGGGAGACATCCATCATGGTGACACTTGGATCTCTGGGACCCACACAGGATCAAGAAGTACAAAACGCCTGGTGGGAGGAAAGAGTGCAAGGTCTTCAAGCTTTACCTGTCAGTAATCCTCCCCTTAAGAACTCATTTTGCACTAGCCAACCTTTTACTGTAGAACCTCCAGAAATAGACATTAGCTGCCCCAACCTTCCCCTTATAAAATAAAAAAAATTAGCCAACTTGAATGCCCAAGGATTTCAAAAGCTACTACTAACTTAGCATTTATAGCCAAGATCCTAAAGCTAGTAAGGCTTTGTATTAGCAATGGTCTCAGATACAATAATTGGAAGCTATTTCTCTTCTCTGTT